CTTGTGAAAGTAAGATATTTTCTCGCAGTAAAATGTAGCCCATGTCCATCTCCAACATGTAAGTTATCTCTGTGCAAAATTTTATTAAAACCTGTTCAGCGGTTTAGACGTGAAAAGGTAACAGACAGATAGACAGAATTACCTTCAAATTTATAATATTAGTGTGGATTAATATGAATTTCTGCTATAAGGGATATGCGAGTTTGAGCTCTTTCTTGAAGTGGTATACAGGAAAAACTAATTGGGAACCACTGTTCTAGACTTATAACCATCATTAGGAATGGAAAAGATAAGACTAATAAGCTTAGGATACTGAGGGCATATAAAGTTCCTTTGAAAGATGACCGATTTGGCTATGAACTTGAATATATCGATTCCATCACAAAACCACATAAAATAAGACTAATTAAACACAAACATGATAGTGACAAAAAGAAAAAAACATTGTCCTAGCCATGCACACAATGCATAACAACATGCATGCCTTCCTCGACAAGAGATCAAAACATGCCGACTATCAAGATACTAGAAGCATTAAAAATATTTAAATCTGACAAAAAGAGCCACTGCATAAATTTTAAAGAAGAAAAACAATATCATATGCATGGCAATTCTTATACGATCATGTGACCAAATATGACATAACAACATGATGTAAGGACAGTATAATGAAAATTTCTTGGTTATAGTTATATAAGCTTTAAATGTTTACTTTTTTACTTTTATATTTTCAGAACCTCTATTAATTTTTATTTTTATACATTTCAGGAATTTATTTTGTTTAATTTTTCAAAAAACATCATTGTTTGATTCAATCATTTCATCATCAATTATACAGTATATATATATCAAATAAATACTGTACCTGAAAATCTCCAATTGCAAATCACAAATGTTAGTAAAATTTTTTTTTTTTTTTCAAATTAAAACCTTACTGAAATACAATTTAAGGTTTTTCATTAAAGTAGTTATTATATCATTCCAGTCTACTAAATATTTTAACTCCTTCTAGTCGTGATAGCCTTCCTGATGACTTTTAGCATAAATGAACAGTCTGTACATGACATTGCTAACATCAAGCAGTTGTTGTACTCAATGGGCAGAAGTGACATCTAAACAAACCAAGATGGACTAGTTTTTTAACAAATTTTAAAATCAAGTGAGGTGCTAATGAGTATACATACTGTACTTTGTCTCCTTTTGTACTTACAGTATATACAATTTCTGTCATCTTTGTCACACACACTATGACAATGTATGATCTTGTAACATGTCTTGTAACATTCACCCACAAAAGCTTACATAAATTAATCTTTTATGCACAAAAATTTTGCTTACAAAAACTAATTTTAATAAAGAACAAATGTTGATTTCCATGGTAATATATTTTATTCTACTTTGTTGAAATGCTATTTTATTTTATATCAATGTGGTAAATTTACATATAGTAATTTAAGAAATATCTGTAAACTACAATAATCCATTTATTAAAACAGCAATAATACATAATATATTACATAATTTTGTGTAGAAACTAATTCTTGTATATTTATCATTACTTGAATTAGTTTTTTTCTTCATACAGAAAAGTATATATTCAACTTTATATATACTTTACAGATATTTAAACAATAATATATATAATATTATTGTTTAAATATCTGTATTTTATAACAAGAAATAATACAATACTAAATTTTAGGAGTTTAGAAATTTTTTTTTACATTATTAAACATTTTTTCAAGACTTCTTTCATCTTCAGATCCTTTCAAATAAAGTTTAAATAAAAAATGAAGAAAGAGCAGTCTTGAAAGGATCTGAAGACAGATAAAATGACTTGCAAAACCTTTAATCATATTAAGAAACCTCTAGACAACTAAACATTTAGCATTGCATTAATACTTACAGTAGACCCTCTATAACGCGGGTTCCTGTAACAGAGATTCCTATAATGTGGCGAAAAAACTGCGACAGTATTCGTATAAAGACACTAAAAGGGACTCGTAAAACGTCACCGCTGACTCATGTCACGACAGGATTGGTCGAATCTGGACCAATAGTGGACGAGCAGCCGAACTACTTTCCACCGTCAAGCGCCACACTATGGAGAGTTTAGGCGGGTAAATTGAGTTTACTATCGTCTGTACAGTATTATATATAAATTATATATAAATTAGGTACTGTACATATAATTATATATTAATTATATATAAATTAGGTACTGTATATATAATTATATATNATGAGAGGGGTCGTCGGTAAGGCGTCGGCAATATCCGAATAAAAGACACCATTAACAGATCAGTTTGTAATTTGTAAAGAAAAGTTACTTTCCATAGATGAGATTTCTTCTCAAGAAATATCACTGAGAGAAGCAGCTGCAGCTAATTCGAAAAGTGGATTGCCCTCCACGTTTTGAATTAGCTGTAGCTGCTAATAGTGGGGCAAGGCTATACACGCTGTCATCACAAAAAGAAGTGTTCCATGAATAAATGCAGTTGTAAAAGCAAGGGACTATTGTGCAATTCAAAGTGCCATAACAGTTTAAGTTGTTGTAATAAATAAGATCGTATAACGTTAATCACATAATTTATGTGTAAGTTTATTATTGTATTATTTTCTTTAATGATTTAGAATGTACTGTTCATTTTAGGTTCAACAGTTTATTTACATGTGCTGTTACTTAAGCTTTCTCCTATTTTGACATATTAAAATGTTGCATTTTTGGATCTTAACATAATAAAAATATTTTTATTCAACATTCACCATCAGTGCATGATGAATGTTGACATTTGCTGGTGTAAATGAGAAATAATGATATTTAGCAAATATTTTGTACATACATGAAACAAGTGTGTGAATGCTGACATTCACCAGATATAGGTCATTCACAGTAACATATACAGTGGTGCTTCATATAATGTACTTAATCTGTTCCAAGTGCACGTCAGTTATATGAAATGCATTTTCCCATAGAAATACATGTTAAAACATATAATTCGTTCTGCAGCATAAAATAACTGTACTGTACCATTAAAATAAAATGAAAATGGAGCAATCACCAATTATGCCAGGTAGTCAGATGTTGGGAGGAGGAGGTGGAGGAACACTTTCTTCACACATTCATACAGATAGAGACTTTTTAAACATTGCAGCAGGTCTCTTTTTATTGTTTTTTAATTGGAGTCAGATTCAGGAGAGGCTACCGGAGTTTGCAGGGTCAACTCCGCTTGTTCCATCCTTTGTTTTTTGGCAGCTTGCTTCTTGAAAAACATGTCCAAAGTGGTCTGTTTCTCTCTGTCTCTTCAACATCTGTTGGAAATAACGGGCAAGGGTGTCATTGTAGAGATCATTGATCCTGTTGGCCTCAGCTGTGTTTGGATAGCGAGTGTTGGTAAACTCCTAACCTTCTCCCCATTTGACAAGGAAGTTTTTGTCAACTTTCACTTCTTCTGATGATTTCTTGCTTTGTTTCAATTGAAATCACCTTTCTGTTTTTTTAGAAGCCATGATTTGCACAACACTTGAATAAATGTAAATATCCTGCACTAAGGTGATGTACGTAATAAACAAGGGAGCAAGCTGAATCCCAACGGGAGCTCTGTACTTCAGATATATTAATAATATATTCTAATAATGCTAATATATTATAAAAATATCAGATTGTCATTGGCAATGGTAAAAGAGTGGAAACATCATTCGCACTTGTTTGCAGAAAGTTTGTTGTTTGCCTCACTTAACTGCCGAATGGAAAGTCCATTGTTTGCAGCATCCGTTATTCGAGGCACCACTGTATATAAAATTTTGGGCAAATCAATTTCCTCTGTCTCCTTAACCAAACTGTCCTTATACATCCATCGATAGGCTAATGCTTTAATCACATTGGTCATGTGGCCATCACTAAAAAGATTTTCAGTATTTATTTACTTTAACGTGGCTGCAATGAAATATTTTAATAGTGGTTATTACTAGTAATAGTCATATCCAAATATCATCATGCTTGTCTTTTGAGTTTGATTTCCATTCATCTCTAATATTTCTGCAAAAGCAAATTTTCAATGCTTTTTCACATCAAAAACAAACAGAGTGAACTTTGAGGATGAGAGATACTGAGTTCATGTTAGAGTTAACATGAACTCAGTATAAATTTTGAAGCTTGTTGCCTAGATGCAAGTATTGTACAGTCGATCCCTCTATAACGGAGATTCCTATAACGTAGCGAAAAAATTGCAACAGTATTTGTATAAGGACGCTAAAAGGAACTTTTAAAATGTCGTTGCTGACTCGTGTCGCAACAGAATTGGTCGAATCTGGACTAATAGTGGACGAGCAGCCGAACTACTTTCCGCCGTACAGCGCCATGCTACAGAGAGTTTAGGCAGGTAAATTAAGTTTACTATCGTCTGTACAGTATGTAAATTAGTTACTGTAAGTCTAATACAGCACTAATTTTATACATTTCTTGTGAAAGAAACATTTCTTACTCAACGGTCATAAAAATTATTTATATTAATGATGTCTCCAAAGTTCAACAAATTTTTCGCAGAAAAATAACTTATCAGAAATTGCGGCCACCGTTTGGTGCACTGCTCCACGATGAAAACAAGCTTAAGCAATGGCGACGTCGAACTGTGCACACTCAATAAGTAATCCTACAATTTTTGTTTATAGCATAGTTTATACTGATTATTCCCAAAGAATTATACGTGTTTGGAAATGTTGAGTCGAATTAGTCTAGAATTGATTAATTTTATGGAAGAAAACCTTTCAAACAGCTGTAGTCCGTAAACTTCACATGTGTCGGGCTGCGATTGGCTCATGTATTTAAGGATTCCTACAACGTGAAATTCGTATAATATGGAATGTATCTACGCGTTATAGGGGGGTCTACTGTACTTTTATAACACAATCATACATTAATAGTAAAATGATTTATCTGAGCTTTATGTGTTTTAAATTTAAAATAGACTTATGTTTTAATTATCAGTTTTATTTCTTACCAGTAAGAACTGATTGTTCAGATTCTGATGAAATTACAACTATGGGCAATTCCCATTCAGTATCAGGTTCTAACTTTTGACTGATTAAAAGTAATTTCAATCCACTTAATGATATTATGATATCAGCAGAATATTTATCTGCTAAGTTTCTAGCAATAGAATCTTGACTAACTGGCTGTAAAAAAATTGATAATTTAAATTAATATTTACTATCCATAAACAGTATTATTAATAATAATAAATAATTGTATTTAAATAGTCAATTAAATTTTTTGTCGAAATGTTTCAACGAAAAATTTTCTGTAAGCATTTTCTGTAAAAATAAAATTTAGGAATATAAAAGAATATTATTATTACAGAAAATGCTTTTAGCCCTAAGTATAATTAAATTAATTAAAATATCTGCCTCACAGTTATAGATATTTTGATTAATTTAATAAAAAAATATTTTAATTTCATTAATATATTTACTATAAGAATTTATAAATTGAAATCTGTAATTTGATTTTTTCATATATCCCAAGCTTCCAAAGCAGGCATTGAAAGTGACACTAATATGCAATTTAAAAATAGACACTATCTTGAACATTAAAATGTTTTGTCTGTTTCACTTCTATTAGTGAAACAGACTCATACAGTGACCTGGGAATAGTTTTTGACAATAAACTGACTTCTACACTACACATTGATGTAAAATCTCTTTCAATTTGTTGGAGAATACTAAGGTATTTCTGTCACCCAATCTCTTCTAAAACAGTTCTTAGGGCTATTTTCTTTGCAAATTTTTAGTCTGTAATAGACTGCTGTTTACCAATCTGTCTATTGCTGCACCCTCCTTACTTAGCAAAGTTAATAAAGAAATTAACAAAGTTTACTTTTTATTAAACAAATTTAGTAATATACCTGTTATTCATAACCCAATGTTGCTAGAGTCTGACTTAATCTTCCACTTCTAAATGAAAGAATTAAATATTTTGAGTGCATCTTATGTTTTAAATTCTTCAATGAACTAATAAATAGTTACTGGCTAAAATTAAGAGTTCCTACAAAAACCAGAAAATACATGTTTGTTCACTCCCTTTCATTGTTTATCTATGGGTTATAGATAAACAATCTTTTTTAATTGGTATGCCGATCATATGTCCATAGTCAAACATTACCTTCACTTTAACTTTGAACAATTTAACTGTGTTTGTCATCATCTTCATATAATTCATAATTTAGTATTTGTCATTTTAACATTATATCCTATTATTCTTTTAACTTATACCTTTATATGTCTATCTCACTTTATATATATATTTTATTTATCTTCATTGTTTAAAATTTATGAGTTTTAAATAATTTTTGGATTTGTTATTAGGGGGTGGAAATCCATTGTTAAATAGTGATTCATTATAAATATACATATTTTATATACACATATATAAAAAAATGCCTGTCTGTGTATTCCCTATTAACTTTTGAACTCTTTGAATCACTCAAATAATAACTATGAAAAATTTGGTTCAAAGTCTCCGAAGAAAATACAGGTTACTATGAAACCTGGACATCCACCTCTCCCTATGACTTCATCCCTTGATTCTTAAATTACCATAATTCACAAGTAAGCTTTGCATAATAATTAATATTTTAAAATTCATTGATGCCTTCATAATGTTATATATAACATATTAAATATTAAAATAATACTTAATTAAATCTATATATCTATATAAAAATGGACATGTATGTCCCTATATTTCACTTTTTCGCCAAAACTACACATCGCACGTGAATGGTGTTTGTATATGGTGGTAGCCCCAAGTCTCCATTCGTGCATAGGGGTGGTTGTGTCTCGATAGCTATAAGGGTGCGGGAGATATGAGGCCGAAAGTGGTTGAAAGTGGCTTTCTATTTCGAATGTTTTGTTCGAATTAAATTCAAACATAAAATTTGAATATTGGTTCGATTATAGAACGATTGTAAATGTTCCAGAAACATTGAAAATAGTTCGTTTGACTAAACGTAAAAATTCTCTAATTAGTCTGGAAATGGGGGACCTAATTCTTGCATTCTGTGAAAACGGGTAAGATTGGCTATAATGTAATTATCTTAATCTTCACTATTGTTACTTTTTAAAAACCCAGCGAAGCGGGTCCTTGCAGCTAGTAGGAAATAATTTTAATTAAAAAAAAATATATGGAATTTTTCTAATATAACACCCTGCAGATGAGAACATCCAGACATTCACCTTAACACTTTTTCCTTAATACAGATACATAGCCAAACAATTGCCTTAAATACTCTGACTATAAATCTGCTATTTTTAATAATTATATATAGTGCGTTTCAGGTTATTTAATAATATACTTATATATATATATATATGTATGATTAGGTATAGATATATACGACAATAGTTATATATCTATACCTAATATATACATTCTTCCCTAATAATTTTGTAATAAAATATATAATATATTTATTGATTGAATTGTTTACATCCAGTCATCATGATAACAGGAATATTGTTTGTTTGTTCCTGTCAGACAGACAATAGCGAGGTTGAGGCCAAAGTTTTAAACGCAAAAATATATATGTCGGACATTCAGCACTGCTTTCCTGTAAGCCTAGAAGTTTGACAATGGTGTTTGGAATGTCAAGCATAATCCCACTGACTTTTTTTTTTTTTTACATAATCATAACTACATTTAATTACATTTAGTGGAGCACTCCCTCTGACCTGTAGCATTAAATGCTACTGGCTTGATGTACTCCTCTTTTAATTAACCCTGCTTTGCATATGCTTTGCAGATAGTTATGATTACATAGTCGCGGTCATAGCCGCAATACATTAATACCCGACAATTCTATTTTATTTACATTACTCAACAAAACAATATAATTAAAGTATTTGATATCATTAGTTTGACAATGATCTATGAGAGAAATTTTTATGTTCTGTTTTTATAAATTCATTGAAATAATAATATATGTTAACATTATTTATAAGGCTACTTTTCCTAATAGGCCAATTGTAACCTTCTTTATTACAAACTAATTTTAGTTTGTTTCTTATTTTTTTCATATTGCATACAGTCAAATAAGATGTTCGTGGGAATTTCACTTACCCCACAAATCTCACAGTTTTCATCATCTCGACGATTAAATCTGTAATGATATTTCGCAAAATCTCCATGTCCTGTCACAAATCTTGTAAATTTGTGTCCAATTTGTAGATGTTTGTTATTTAACCTCTGGTTAATATCTGGTATGTATTCAAAGAGTTCCCTTCCTTTTGACTCCACTGACTATCCAAACACCATTGTCAAACTTCTAAACTTACAGGAAAGTGGTGGTTAACGTCCGACGTACACATTTTTGCATTTAAAACTTCAGCCTCAACCTCGCTATTCTCAGCAGAGAATTTACAAACAACATTCAAACTTAATATCACTAACTGTCAATGAGAAGTATACAAACCATCTGATTTAAAACAATGAGGGTCCTAAGATGAGCAATCATCTCCGATTGGGATTGAGTTAATGATAATATTGTACTTTCTCACAATCTGAAAAGGTCTCTAATTTCACTTAAAAACAGGTGAAGAATCAATTAAATCACAAGAAGATTCAAAACCAATCAGAATGTTGGATCAAGGGAACCAATAATATAAGAACCCATATCAAGGACACAAGGTACCATTTGTATAGTGCCAGTGGAGGTGTCTGCATTCACTGGATTGTTCCAGTCAAGCCAACAGAGATACGTATATACCAGGGGTCGGCAACCTGCGGCTCGCAAGCCACATACGGCTCTTTGGATGTGAAGCTGCGGCTCTTTAGTTCCATACGCAAATATTATTTATTTTATAAAAAAAAAAAACATTTAAAAAACGTTCTGAATCGATTAACGAGGATTCGGCACCGATTCTATCTCTCAGCCACTTGTACTCGCTTTTCATCGCACCCCTCCCCATGACACGCCATTGTCGGATGTTTCTATTATCTAATTTGTTGTGAAAAACACTACTTATATATGAATAAATAGATATTTTTTCTTATGAATAAATAGATTAGTTTTTTTATCAAAAAACTTTATTTATGTGAGTACTATTTATTGTTGGCAAGAAAAAATTTTGTGGCTCTTTAAAAACTTTGAAATTTTGTAAATTGTAATTTTGGCTCTTCCGACTCAAAAGGTTGCCGACCCCTGGTATATACCTTTGTTCCAATTTCCATCCAGCATATTGTGCACCTTTTTGGTAGTTTACATCTGGCCTGCTGTTTTCTGTCCATCACCAACTTTTTTCTACTTTGCTGTCATAACATTCACTGACCCTCTTGGAGATAAAAGTGTATACTTTTATATATATTTTGGCTAACTATTAATAATTAATATAAATTATTAATAGTTAGTCAAAATACACTATGAATAATCCGGAAATGAGAATTTAATTCATTTAAGATGTAATTATTATTATAAAATAAGTGATAATGATAACAATAATAAATACTAAAATAAAACTTATTTAACTACTGTCTCCTAACTTGAAAGTTATTTAATATTAATTTTAAAGAAATGTCCATTTAATTAATATAAAATAGATGTGTATGCTATAGAATTAAAAAACAAAGCAAATAATGTAAAATGATAATGACATCATATTTAGTTTCCATTTATTTAGCAATATAGTAGAAAGTGATGCTATATATATATATATATACATATATATATATACAAGGAGAAACATTTCACAGTCATGATAGAAGTACTGTTTTAAATTGTTTTTTAAACATAAATTATCCATGAATTATCTATCTGCAAAAAGTTATAAAATAAATCTTTAACTAATTCTAATTATAATACAAAATATTGAATATGTCCAGCTTGATATGCACAAAAATTTCAAATTGAAAGAAATTCATAAATTTTTCTATAAATGTTTATAAATTCTTATAAGTTTAATTTAATTTAAAGTTTAATTTAAAAACAAACTAACTTTTTTAAAAGGAAGTTCTTGAGACGATTGCTTTGTATGTAAAGAAACAGGAAACCTTCGGGATAATTTTAAATAATTTTTTTCAATAACACAGTTTTTTCCTAAAGTTGGCATTACTAATCTAGGAATTTTACCCTGTAAAATAAATAAATAAATAAATTATCATTTAAAAAATTCCATCATTATAATTAATTTTTTATAATACAGTATACCTAAATATAATAATATAAAAGAAAAAGAATTTTCATTTACACTAACTCCCAATACAAAATAAATAGAAAATATAAAAAACTTTTTATAATACCATATATCTATTGAGCTGAATTTAAGCAAAGCTCTGCATCAGTCAAAGTGTTTTGTCTGTGATCAAAGTTTAAAACAACTGCACAACCAGTAAACATGATGTTTTGTAAATATATACAACTCAGCAAGGCCGATGTTGTGACAACACTAAAATTTTAAAATTTAATCTAGGGGCTGAGATATTCAATGAGAAAGTTTGACATGTAAAGTCTATTAGCACATAGAGTGTCAATTGTCAATTGTAAGCTGGTTGTGCACTACATGTAAATCAAGTTTCCAATTACTGTCAATTTTACATTGATCTCTACAACAATTTTTTATTTTAATCTTTACAATGAGCATTTAACATGCATGGTCTGTGGCTGCATATGTGTGTTGCTGGAGTTGGTTAACAACTGACCAGTTGCTAAAGTTGATAAACTGACCACATATGAGTGTTTTACACATTTCTTGATGTTTTTGTTAGTTATGATGTTAGACATGCACATCCTCCCCAAACCTGTATGTGTATAACTTGCCCTCTTCTAATTTCCATTTATGTAAAATTTATACCATATTTACTTGAATATAAGATGATCTCACATATAGGACGAGGTGTGACTTTAAAGATCAAAATAAAGAAAATTAGATTTATTAATACAATTCTAACTTTTATTTCATTTAATTATGAATAAAATATCAAATGCACATAAATGCATACATTGTCCCACAAGAATTACTGGCAAAAATTACTATGCTTTAAAATTTATAAAATATTTCAAATCACATCTACTGTTGTACATTTATAATTTATATAATTTCTATATTCTAAAAGTATTTCTAATATTAAAAATAAAACACTTACCAGTTTTAATAACTTGTGAATTAAATGAAAAGTGGTATGTTTATCTTGAGAAATATTTTCTGAAATTGTTATTTTCTTTAAAATAGTATAATAATGAGGATAATTCAAACAAGATTCTAGTTTTTCTTTAAGCAATTCCTGCAAAAGCATATGAAATAATTATCAGTGTGACATTAATGCAGTAAATATATTATTATTTTCATCCACAAAAAGTATTTTAATACAAAAATGTTATGATATTTTATTATAAAAACTTTTTGTATTTTTAATTATTATAAAATGGCAAAAAGCTTAATTTTGAGGATAAGGATGAGTTTTATAAAAAAAAATTGCAAATGCTAATGAGTAAAATCTTTAGGTCCAACACTACTTGAAGTATGATACATAACCCTCTTCCTTCTCCTCTAATTTATATATATATATGCCAATGTGATATATATATATCACATTGGCAATGTATCAATATTTATCACTATATCATAATGTATATAAAATTACATATCCTGACTGACTGACTCATCATTCCCAGAGTAAACCGATGAACCTAAAGAAGTAAAATTTGGTACACAGGGTATGTCATGAAAATGCACACTAGGAAGGGATTTCCTAAATTCTCCCGTGGGGAGAGGGAGAAGATTAAGGCTTAACCTGAGGAACGGCTTCTACTGTAATATTTTAGATGCGATTTTTTGTTTTTGGTAGTAATAACTTAAGTAAATCCTATCAGTAATAGTCATTCTCTGTAATTCATTATCCATTTACATATTTATTAATTAATTTATGTGACATCAATTGTTTTTATCAATTATATGACATCAATTGTTTCTACAAAATTATTAAAACATAATTTTGTAAAAACATTGATGTCATAGGTATGAAAACAAATTAACATATAACTCTAATTTGTTATCCATTTACATTTATTAATTAATTGTGTTTAAATTTTTTGTATTTCCATGTATATTTAATGATTGTAATTTTAAAAAAATTTTGTTAAAAGAAAAAAAATACTTTTTTGTAAAAACTATGACATCATCAGAACAAAAACAAATGTTTGAATATCTGATGTTCCAATTATTGCCAAACTGAGGAAGACCATTAAATATAGCCGAAAACGTTAGTTCAATTAAAGAAAATTGCTAGAAAAAGTGTTGAAGGTTTTATATTACTTATTTACAGAAGTTCTAGCTTTCTGTGCATAGAATTGTAATAACTTAATTTCCAAACATACAATACAGTAGAACCTCGATTATCCAAATTTTCGATTATCCGGACTGTTCAAAATAAACAAAAATTTTACAAAATTTGCTGATTTGCACTTGGCAAATTGCGATACTTTTTATGTACGTGATGGAACGCATAACTTTTTTTGTTCCAACATCTCACCCGGCACAGTGGTCGTAAACTTTTTAATACATTTTGCGGCGTAATAAAAATATAACTTGACATACATATTTATAAATAATTTATATTGAAATTACATCATTTCTATGACCAAGGGCGGCGTAAGGCATGGGCGACGTGGGCTACTGCCACGGCCTTGCGGTCCGAGGGGCCTCGCGCCTCGAAGGTTTAAGCATTACTTAAGGTAAAAACCATAAACAAGATGAAAAAATTTACTTTTACCTTATGTAATGTTTAAACCTTGAAGGTTTAAACATTACATAAGGTAAAAGCCATGAACAAGATAAAAAAATTTTACTCGTCATAAAACGATAAATAGTTTTCATTTTTATGAATAAAAATTTGACAATTTCAACTGCTTTTTACTGTATTTTATAAAGTATGTCTTCTTGCGCCACCAGAGGGCCTTTAAACAATAGGCAGTCTGTTAGTACCGGTCAGTAGTAGTCCAAATTCAATATGAACGTTTTTCTTGAAAAATTGATCATGATTTAAATACAGTATTTATTTTTAATATTACCAATATATCATCGGAAAGAAAACGTGTTGTATTATCATTAAAGACAAATTGGATGTAATCAATGCTTTGAAACATGATGAGTCTGGACGTTCATTATCTAATAAATATGGTGTTGGAACGTCAACAATCTCAGGTATAAAAAACAAAGTGAAAAAATTATAAAATTAAATAATAATCGAGTTTATTAATAAAAAATAATTTAATATTTAAACTACAGTATATGTACATCTAGACAAATAAAAATTATTCATACTGTACGCACATGTCTTTCACTGTCAATTATTATTTTTTCAATTATCCGGACTATTTTCATCCCCAATTAGTCCGGATAATCGAGGTTCTACTGTATTTACAAAATCATCCAAATCGTTTGCATGAGCAATGCCGGGCTCATTTGCTAGTATTTTACACATATACAGTAGAGCGTTGATTATCTGAATGCTGATCAACTGAAACATTGGTTAACCAAAAGCGTTCCAGTCGGACTGTGTTGTGCTGAATTGAACATTTTTGATACTAGATTAACTTATAAAGTATAATTTTTGTTTTGTTTTTATGTTTTTTAATATATTTTTTAAGAAATAATTTTTAATTAACATTTAATTAATTTTTAATGGTCACAATTATTATTATAAAAAATTTTCATTAGGCTTAACATCGATGAAAATTCAACGTGAAGCGACATGCAACGGAGAAAAATTTAAACATGGGATATACTAATATACTATATTAATAATGTATTTTTTCGTACATAATTGGTTATCTGAAAAATCGATTTTTCAAACAACCCCAGTCCCCAATTGATTCAGATAATGTATGTTATATTTGATATCAAGTTTAGATATGCAGCTGTTCCATTCCAAATCCCATTTCAACTATTTTTTTTTAATGTTAGAATGTCAGTTAGAACTTAAAGTTTGAATCTTCTTATTAAACCTGATGCAAACTTATGAAAAGTTAAAAATGTTTGTTTAAATAAACTACAGTTGTTTTGAAAAAGTATTTAAGGTATTGTTCAAAATACACAAATAATACCAATGGATTTTAAATCAGGCTATAATATGGCTAATTAATTAAAAAGATGTTTGAAGGAAAAATGAATGAAAGAATATAAACATGTTATTTAATTTGGACTAAAAATTGGCAATTAGATCACCATTTTACATCAGATTTAATAATTAGAAAAAATGAATTAATTTAGAATATTCTGTAAAAAGATCAATCCAGAGTGGGACAAAAACCTGTAGCTCCTGTTTTCTGTGAAGATGCATTATTATAATTAACATGATTTTTATATAGATCAGTGGTTCTAAAGCTTATCCCAGAGATGGGCAACATTTTTCTATGTAAGGACCCCATTTCAAAACTACTGAACTAACGCAAACCGCATATAAGAGAAAAAGAGAGGAAAAAAAAATGCCAGTAAATCACAATTATTTATTCACATATAATTATAAATTAGCATAGGTATACTTAATTTAGTTTCTGGAACTGATGTAAACATAATATATTGGAAATATTTGGTTAAATATTAGTCACTGCTAGTTTTAAATTAGTTTCAATGTGTCTGTTAGCTAGTTTCTTGTTTTAACTTTTACTAAATTCATTGCGGAAAAACTATTCACATACATAAGTTGTAGAAAATAACATTTGAATTTTTGCTGCATACTTCTTTCAGCTAGGAAATTGATATATTTATTCAAATTTTATGCAATGCAAACTGCAAAAACTATTAATGCGGGCCTCATGCGGCCCGAGGGCCACAGGCTGCCAATCCTTGGCTTATCCTTTTCAAAGAAAATCTGAATTCTTGGTCTTTTGGTTCCATAAATTTAGGCTACCTAATTTAGCCTATTAAAGTTTAAGAATATTCATTGGTTTTCACAAATTTGCTTGATTTGCAGTATAATTCATTAAGAATTGTGCAAATCCAGCAAAATTTGTAAAATAAATTAAGAATAGTAGTAATTAATTGCACAGTTAATCATATTAAAATTTTAAAATTAAATGTGATTTCATATAGATATAAAAAATTTTAAATGAAAAATTAAACAAAAATATAGAGAAGACAGAAAAATAATTCTTCGAGTAAACAATTGATAATTACCTTAACATATCTTTGAATTTCAGGATGAAGAGGATATCTTGTTAAAGAATCTGAAGCAGACTTTTGATATTCCATAAAATTTTTTTGTTCTGCAACAACTTTAGAATGTAATTCCTAAAAAATAAAATAAATTATATTCTTTTTTACAATTAAATACACTCTTGGAAAACAGTGATTTAAACATTTGATTCATACAATACTCCTATAATTTAACTACAGGGTAATTCTAAATGATGATTGTTATTCTGATTTCAGTGACTGATTATTCCAGTTTAATCAAACACAGATAAACACAATCTATGCACACAGAAAGAAAAATCAAACAAGTTTTTTTTCTTACTAGTACAAATGTTCAATGTGTGGTCCATGTGTAACACAACACATCAAGCCCATAATCAAGTTCCTACCAAACTCTGCCTAGCATGTTATCATCAATTTCTGTGACAGCTGTAGTGATGCATACACTTAGGTCAAGCTGTATCATGGTAAATGGTGGCATGAACACACAATTCATGATGAAGCTCTATAAAAAGAAATCATGCAGTGTGATATCCCTTTTTGTAGAATGTTGCTTCATCACTAAATACCAACTTTTCCATAAAACCATCCTCTTCCATGAAGTGTAGCTTATTTGCAAAGAAAGATGCTTGCAAGTCTAAGTCTGATATCTTCAGAGTTTGCAGCAACTGTAGTAGGTACGGTTTCATTACCAGATGTTTCTGTCTGCAGAATATTCTCAGCTGCTTGGTAGGTAGACTTCTGAGGACTCCTTGCAAAGATTACAAGGACAAGTTCCACTTCATTTGTAAATGCAGCAGTTTCTTGAAATTGGTAATACCATTTTTGAATTGACTTTGGAGGATCAGTCAATCTAAATTTTATACAGAAATGCTGCTGAACAACTTCAATAGATGAACTTGAGTAAAAATCAAGAACATAGAATCCTGTATGCAGTTCTCTAGTTGCCAATTTTCTCAGTGTGACTAAGCTCTTTCGTGGCATAAACCAGTGCAACTAACATGAAATTGGCAGTGAGAAAAATGAACTTTGAGAGATAATCTTCCAAAGTACATTTCTACCAACAAAATAGATTCATTATATTTCATATAACACTCAATTGAAATTGGGAACATCATTTAGAATTACCCCATATGTTTTCAAACATTTTTTTTAATATATTTTAATATTACACTAAAAATTATTTCTAAACTTTTATCTGAAACTTTTATTTGTGTCACAAATTATTGAAACTTTCACTTTTATTTTTCAAAAACAATTAATGAAACTATAAAAGTTTATACATGTCTTACAGCTAATAATTTTATATCCTTCCTTTCCTTTTCAGATGAAACATTCACCATTTGATTGGAATATTTATGAAACAGTTGTAAATACTGAGCTTGTTCATCAGCAGTAAGAGTTGAAAAAGGAATATCTGAAGTCTTCTTTTCACATTTTTTAATTTTTTTCCTAAAATACAATTAAAATAAATATTTTTAAAATGTGGAATTTTGCTTTCTTTAAATGAAATTTTAAATAAGGTATAATCTTATATATAAGAAGAATTTGAAAAGTTTCTGTTTATGCTACTGCACTCCTAATCGAAGCATGTTCTAGACAGCAATATATGTTTAGATCAGAGGTTGCCAAACTTTTTTGATCGTTGACCCCTACAACTTTCAAAACCTCACATCAACCCCAACACAAAAAGTTTGTGTTACAAGCAAAAACAAAAGCTCTTACCATTTTAATACACATTTTTTTAATTTTACATTTTTTTACATTTATTGTATATATGTTAATAACAATTTTTGTAAATGACAATCAGTGAGATGGATGAGCTTGATGATCCTTAACAAGATCAGCAATATTTGGTTCAAAATTTGTAAGGGTCTAAATCACCTGGAAGTTACACATTCAACTTATTTCTCTGTTTGGCTAAGATGGAATTATCATGGCTGAAACCAGCTTTAACCATATACAAACTCGGAAATGACAGCAAAAAAGAATTTTTCCATATCACAAAGTTTTGTGTATTTTTGTATTATAATTATATTTATATTTATATTCATCCAGAAATTGCTCAAATTTAAATTTTCAAAAAGGGATTTTGCTTCAAGGTCAGCTAATAATTCAATAAGTTCATCTTGCAAATTGATGTCAACATTTTCAATTTGTGTGAAAAACAGCACCATAATTTATTCTGGAATATCAATATTTTCTAAATCTGCAAAATGCTGTACTATTAAATTCATTAAAACAATATTCAAAAACAATATGTGCAGTTATATTTGTGATTTTTAGTTTCAATTTTTCCATCGACCCCAGGGGTCGATATCAACCACTTTGGTGGCTCCTGGTTTAGATTATGTGGCCCTGTTTTAGCTCAAAATTGCAATGTTCTTTGCTCTAATATGTCAAGTTTAAATACAATTACAATGATGAATAAACATTGATGCATGTAACCACAGCATCCAAGTCTGTCATTTGGATGGAAGGCAGTTAAGGATCGCCTACCCCTCTGGGGACTGAAAATCAAATCTGGGTGATCAAAAATCCCAGAAATTATTTGGAAGATGGGCTGTCCCAGATATGTTGGGATCTGTCCCTTGTCACCTGGCTGCCATTAACCATTAACCAAATTTTTTAGATTAATGCCAAACAATTGCCTTGGACTACAGACTACGTTGGGTTATAATAATCCTACTATTTAATCATTAAATGTCTAATTATTTGGCCTAGAGGTAGGATTTAAGTGCCATCTCTTGTACAGTGGAACCCCGGTTAACGAACTTAATCCGTTCCGCAACTCTGTTCGTTAACTGAATTGTTCATTAACCGAAGCAATTTTTCCCATAGAAATTAATGCAAATGCAATTAATCTGTTCTAGTCTCTAAAATTTTTGTCATTTTATTTGTAATATACAGTAATTTTCTTTGATGAAAATGTAGGAATGATAGAATGTAGTATCTATCATTACAGCAACAAACATGTAAACTTTGTTTTTATAAAATAGCACTGTACATACCTTCGTTTGTTGTAGTTGGTGGCAGAAAAGTGGAGATATACGAACCTTAATGCTTAATAAGGGAATCCCCTCTAAAAAAATAACAGGTAGCACTTCATCAGAAGATTCTTCGAGTCAAAGTCTCTTTCGGTAAAAAAACCCACGAGTGGCTAAGTGGTCTTCGTACCTTGAACACAGGGAGTTTGTTCGTGAGTTCACACTTCGCTAAGACAGGATGGCCACGTGGAGTTTTCCGGGTTTCTCCACGTCTGTAACGCCTAAATAGGAGCCACTTTCCCTTAAAAACACCTCCCAGAAGGCATTCCCCCTAGTCAGATCGCCCAAGTGTTATGTTGCCATAATTTAACAAAGAAACAAACTCTTTCCATAAGGAACAAGAAATTGATTTAAAGTTGATTGTCTTACTCTTTTAAGTAAAATCTTTCTCAAATGCAATAGCACATTGTTGTTTATATTGCGTTGTCGTTTTCTATTGCCACTATGACTTTTTTCTTTCTTTGATGCCATATTGATTAAATATATAAATCACAAAACTGAAAAAAGAAGTATAGCACAAACACTCGGAAAATGAATGCTTAACTCGCGCATGCCTAACACCAACTAAAATTTGACACAAAATACTGTTACATTCGTTATCCGAGACAAAATTTTTGTAAAATAAAAGTTTGTTAATCGATTTGGTCATTAACCAGGACGTTCATTAACCAGGATTCCACTGTATATGCAGTAAAGATAGAAACAGCTATTATATAAAGTCAATGATTAAGACAATAGAAACTAGAATATAAGAATATTTAAATGACAAAGAAAAGATAGTTAAGAAAAAGCCAGGCAAGAGAGACTTACTCAAAATGTGGATTGGAAGTGCTTAAATTATGAAGTGGTTAACAGGAATGATGCTAATAGATTAATGGAAATATGGAAAACTGTAATAAAAAGTGAGAAAGTGAGAAGTTTAGTGAACATGAAGTAAATAGGAAATGAAGTCTGTAAAGACATAGGTCATAACAGCTATTTAAGGTTTCTATATGGTAATTTGGTATTAGAGAAAAGTGAATTTAAAAGGATTAATGGATTATCTTGAATTTTTTGATAATTTGTTCTACATACTTGTTACTTTTACCATTTTAAACCATTACATCTCTCCTTGTTCTGTTTACATTGATCAAGAAGTATCAGTATAAAGATTGTGCTAAGGACTATCAAATGTTCTGGTATAATACTATTAAATTTACTTGTAAGACATTATATTCAGAAATTAGTTAGAAATAATATATTTTAAAGTTTTAACTTAAAATCAAATCACAAATTTTCATATGCAAAAATTTTTCTTACATAAAATATCAGATAAATATAGCATATAAATATCAGCAATAATCAGATAACTTTTATATAATATTTATAGTTAACATAAATAAAAAGTTATATAAAGAATATACAAACAAAATATGATAATATATAGAAATAATTAAAAATCTTATTACTAAAATCATTATTTTAACATTTTAGTAAATGATTACTTACACTTTTTTTGGGCAGGATTGTTGTGGTTCATCAACTACATCATTACAAATGTCTTTATTTAAACAAATATTATCTTTAAAAAGATTAGCATAATATTTGTATGTATTGTCCAATAAAACTCTGTTTGTTGCAGAATATTTCATATAAGATTCAACAGATATAAATTTATCCTGTCCATCTATAGGTTCAATATTCCTAAAATAAATAAAAACTTTTATATTTTTGTTAAAAATGTATCAAATTTAACTAAAACTCATAGTAATTGAAGAACAAGAAAACAAACTAATTTTAAAAACCAGAATAAACATATTATGTATTGATGTTTGTAACTCTTTCACGTAACTTTGTTGTGTTCTTGAAGTATGTGAGACCAATGAACTATGAAGACACCCTTTTCAATTTCTTAAACATTTCTTTTTATATCCTAGTGAAGTTTAAGTATTTATAGATAACACTTAAAATGGTATCTTTTAACTTCTATTAATTGATTGATTGTCAAAATACAGCACTAGCATATGATATATGGTTGACTATCATTTTACCATTATAGGAAAACTGATCTGCACTAAAATCAGCTAGAATGAATGAGAGCTGGAGAATAACATCCTCACCTATACTATAAAATAATTATAGAAACATTGGTAAGATACAAATTCAGATCTCCTATAGTATTGTCCAGCCAACTTAGTTACAACCCTCAATGGAAATAGGCATGTAAATTAAACCAATATACAGGTAACCCCCATATAACACGGCACTTCTATAGCACAGATTCACTCTAACACTGTTCGAGAATTGAGAACATCCCTGTATAACATGGAGCTTTTATAGCACAGTTTCACTCTAACACGGTTCGGGAATTGGTTAAACCCTCGTACAACATGAAATGTAATAAAGGATGCATTCTTTTACACCTCTGTGTAACTCCACGCGAGCATTCTAATTGTTTTCATGGCTACTTTGAATGCACTTTCAATAAATAATCCATTTAATGGTTAAATTTTACAATTGGGACCCTTCGTTTGCCTCTAAAAGCTCATTTTAGAATTATAGATTCCTCCATCACAATACTATCGACAGTACGGGTGCCACCATCTTTCTTTCACCGTCATTCCTAAATGCCTACCAACAGCAGCGCACTCCCGTTGCAGAGCGACCGCTATTAACAAATGCACCCAAAAACTGTTACCAGTTGATGATGCTCATGCTGAGATCATCATATAGAATGAATAATCCTCTGGTAAAATATTTACTTAAATAATAAATAAGTATTTTACCTATGAAAAAAATGAATAATAAATCCAATTTAAATAAGAATTTAACAGCACGCTTTTTAATTTTTGGAACCTAACCTCCCTTTTCACACTAGTTCTTTGTTTCGTATAACATGGATTTGCATAACACAACAATTTTTTGGAACAACTCCTGTGTTATACGGGGATTATCTGTAGTTGTAAAAGGAAAAATTTAAAAACCCTGTATTCTGAAAAATCAGTAAAAAAAAAATAAGTGTTAAATAAGAAAGATGAAACAAAAACAGAACTGTTATTTTAATTCAGTCTAATGTTTTGCTTGTCTACTTCCTGATTATAAATGTAATTTATGATTAGGAAGTAGAATGCCATATAATCATTCTACATGATATATTATATGACATGATTATACTGTATATTATTCTACATGATTGTTAGTGTTATTGTTTGTCTATAATAAAGTGATGTTTAGTAAAACAATATGCAAAAATGATTTACTACTTGAATTTTGAAATACACTAATATAAGCCATTCAAGTTAAGCCTAACAATACTACACTGTCATGCATGTTCTTATATAGTTTTTCCCATAATATAATACTATTTTTACGACTTAAAAAATATTAAAAAGGCATAAAATTTCCATTTTATTGCTGGTTTCATGCTGTGCCAAGTTTTTAGATAATTAAGTAAAAAATAAAATGGTAATAATGTAATAAGAATATCTTTCCATTAAAAATTTTTCTATCTTTTTTCTATCTTTAAATTTGTTGCATTTAGAGATATAAAAACACATCATATAATTATACCTAAAATTCATATAAATGTAAAGGTATTCTCTTATAAACAAAGACTAATTCTTTTTAATGTAGAGGACGTGGTTGCTGTATCATCAAATGCAGTGTGTAGCGTCTTTGTAATCCAAAAAGATAATTAGTAGACGAACGAACAGCAATTGGTTAGAAAAAATTGGTTTGAAAATTTTTAAATAAAACGTAACGTTTTCTAACCAATTCTGTTCGTTCGTCTACCAACTCGTTTTGGATTACAAAGACGCTACACACTGCATTTGACTAATTCTTTGTTTATAAGATAAGCACCACACAAAGGAATATTTATATTTGTTTATAAGCACCACACAAAGGAATATTTACAACTATTGATAGAACTGTTTTTGGAAAAAGAAGAATACTTTTAAGTGGCATGTCACTTTCTTCCAATGAAAATTGAGATTTATTCTTTTAAAACAGTAATTTAGGAATTGACATGACTTTCTTTTCTTCAATACAGAAACCATAGATTGTTCTAATCACATCACAATCAAACATATCTAATGCCATAGTTTCCAGAATATCCTTTGAATGTTTTATTGATAAAGTAAAATTTGGCTCATCTTTACTTTCTGCTTTTCAGCAAATCTTTTTGATACTTTAGAAATCAACAACAAAAACACCAAAAATCCAACAAATGTACTTATTTAATGAAAAAAACAAACATTTTCAGGTGTTTTTAACAGTCATCATCAGGTTAATATATTCTAAAAAAGAACACAAAATAGAATATATATTTTGAAAATGAAGAATCATGACATTTGCCACATATGTGGAGATGGCCACTTATATAGAAACAAATAAACTCCACAGAAACAAAAATTAATATGACTAATAAAATATACATTAAGTATTGAATTTTCTTGAGAAATCTTCAAACAGTGAGGCCGCGTTTCTTTATGCAGCGCTCGAGAAGTGCTTTACAGCGAACCCTCTGAAACCCGTTTCTAAACGCAGCACTGCAATTTAGCGAACCGTTTCTAAACGTTTGCTGCAAGAGGTCGCTGCAGCGAAGATAAAGCAGCTTTTACGTCCGCTACACGTGTAAAGCAAAATGGACGCTTGTGTGTATAATACAATATTATGCTGTAAAAATAAAAAAGTCGAAGTGACTGTTGATAAAAATATTATGGAAAGATTAAGAAGGATTAAATTTTATGAAATGACTCTGAAAGTTATCTAAAGAATAAGAAAATACTATATTTTAAATATAATTATATATCTTTTATCTCTTTACTTTGTTCACATTTATGGAAAGATAAATGCTCGATTCTTTATATCTCTTTATTTAAATATTGTAGTTCTTTAACTAAAGCACTATTTTCGACTGTAACTGGAATTAAAGGATAGATTATGACGTCAGTGTTTCGCTCGAGCGAAAAGCGTTTCTAAACTATGATGCAGCGACGTGTAGCGATAGCTGCTCGTGACATCATTTACGCTGCACTCTCGCTGCATAAAGAAACGCAGCCTGAGTGATTTCCATACCAAGAAGATGGCATCAACATCCATCAACAACAGTTTGTGGCAGTGTCCTTTCTAGCTGCTTTATATATTTTCAGCCTTTCTAAATGTTTGAGATGGGGGTTCTATTGGCGATATGATGTATAAGCTGGACAAATCTTGTCAGATGCAAAGGCCATAAGGGCAGTATTACACTTTCCCTTTTTTATGTCAATTCATGTCATATATTCTTCATGTTCCTTAAGCCACTTGTTTATTGACTGAGTTGTTGCTCCAATATACTCCCAATGTTGGTTCACTCTATCAATGAGGGGAATGGAGTATTTCCTATTAGGGAGGTCCTTACAAAATTAGAAATTACAAAATTGCCATTTTCAGGTTCCTTGTCATAGAATTAAATAATGATGTGAAAAAATCTTTTCTTATTCAACTATGGCGAGGTTTGTTACAAGATGTACCGTACCTTCCATTTGTACAAGTATGCAAAATAATATTTAAAGACAAATTAAATCCTATACTAAATTTACTACTGACAACAAGCACTCCGGCATATCTTCCTTTCTACCTACTCTCCTTCCAAGGCAAATCCAAGATAATCAGCAAAACATCAGTGACAGGCACACTTAAGCTGGCTGAACTATAAGTCTGACACCTTACCATATTGAGTCTAACCTCTATCACCTGTTTTTCTTTCATTATCAAATACAAAGTTAGATGAATTGCCAAAAATTATTCATAATACAAGAATATAAAAATATAGTATGGTATTTTATGTGGTATGACATAATAGGTAGTAAAATATGATATACTACGGTGGTGTACCCTACAGTGATTAAATTTGAATGTGTAATCTTTTTCTATTCCTGACTCGGTAAAATGCACCTTAAAATAAATCAATTTAATTTTTGAAAATTATTTTTAACTGCTGTCAATATCAGTAATATCTATATATTTAGCACTGTAAATGTTGTTGCGTTTTCATCTTCAAATATATTAATTATCCATATTATTACTTTATATGGAAAATATAAAATCATAAGCAAAATTTATTTTTCATTGAGAAATACTTATACTTACCAATCTAATTTTATATCATCATCTTCCATTATTTACAAATAAATTTAAAATAAGCGCTAAGTTTGGGAAATTATGTTTACTAGATTTTTTTCACCAGTTATTTTTCTTACTATGCTTTCAAAATATAAACAATGCTAAAATGTTACGAAGTTCAGTATATTAAAATGTCAACACGTGGAACTATTACTTCTCCATGCGACTTTGATGACACCAGTGATTCAGTTTCTGACTACTAGAGGAGCTAGTCTCTTCAATAAAATTCTTTCTTGATAGGGAGGTTGAGATTATGATCTATTCTGCCTTACTCTTTACTGCGATTATTTCAATAATATTTATCACTTAATTTCATTAAATACATAATTATCACAATAATATGCAGAATATTTCGCAGCAGACTGTATATATTGAAAGCGAACTATTTTTTAAGCAAAAATAATGCAAAAATTTTTAATAAAAAAAATGTATTTTGAAAAATGTGGTTTTTCGAAATTTTAATTGCTTTGGAAAGCCAGGATTCGTATTTGGGTCGGAAAATTCGGGATTTTTTCATTGACGAGAGATATTGTACCCCGTTCCCCACTATCTGGCCCTCTCAATTACGAACTTAGTCGAATCCATAATTTTTGTACTCTTTCTCTCATAGTCGCCAATAGTGTTACCACCCGTCCGGTTTTCACCCGGACAGTCCGGGAAACGACTCACTATCCGGGTGAACTATTAATTTTGTCCGGGAATATCGTGCGCGACCTGTCGACCTTTTTTTTGTACGATTCGTATTCGTACAGGTCTCCAATATCCAATAGAGCTAAGTCATCTGTAGTTGTTTTTTTATTAATTTAGGTTACTTACGTTACTCCTACCTAAGTCTCCCTAGTCCCTAACTGTGAGGCCGGATGGCCGAGTGGTCAAGGTAGCAGCCTACCACTCTGGGGGACCCGGGTTCGAATCCGAAAGGGTCGAAAAATCCCCAGGAATTTTTCGGGGGTGGTCCGTTCGGATATGTCGGGCCCCGTCCCTCACCACCCGGTCACCCCATTGTGGGCCTGGCCGAACCCATAATGGGCTTGCATAAAGAGGCCCTCCTAGTGCCCACAGGGTGGAAAGAGTTAATTAAGATTCGGACGTGATATTAATGTATATACGTATGTAATATACAGTAGAGCGTCGTTTATTCGAAAGAATTCCAATCGGCAAATTTAAATTTTCGCTAGTGCTGTGACGCTGCAATCTTTTGATACTAAATTAACTTCTGAAGTATAATTTTTTATTTTTTTTATATTTTTCAATATATTTATTTCGTTTGTACAAAATAAATAAATAATTTTTAACGATACAATAGCCACGATTATTATTTTAAAAAGTTTACGTTAGGCTTAACCTTTTTTTTGCCATGTCCCACCAAAGCATCTCTAAAATCCTAATGGCCGCGGTGACAAAACATGAGAAGAAAAATAAGAGAAAAATAAAAAATTAACAAAATTAAAATAAATTTATAAACTTTAGAGAATTTATATATTTTTGTCCATGTTGTTTCCATATCGAAAAATATTTTCGACAAGTGCGATAAAAAAAATGTAACAAATATTAATTATTTGCGCAATGCCTTCTAGGATATTAAAATTTTCCCCCGGTGGTGCATGAGCCCAATTTTGAAAAACACTGGTCTAGTTGTTACTTGTTTGTGTTTTAACCGGTAGAGGTCAGAGAATACATGAAATGGCGCCCGTTTTGACTAATGTCGGTGATGTGTCGGGATGCATTTTGTCATTATACTAAAGAAGTTTAAAATCTAAATTTATAGAAGATGAAGCTAGAAACTTACCGTCAAATTGTAGAAGAATGTCATAAAATTAATGCTAACAAACTGGATTCGTTAAATGAAAAATTCAGCGGGTAATTTTTCTATTTTATAAAAATAGTGTAAATATGTTACAGGAATAAGGCCGCTTTTCATGACAGTTATCTGAAACTTAATCCATTGTATTAGTGACAAATGCCTGTATATAGACATACAAATCAGTATATCATATTCAAATGTAAAAAATAAAAGTTAAGTATTTTTATAGTAAAAGTAAGCACGTGTAGGTTATTGAATTTTACAAGAACTAAGTTGCATTGAGGTCTAAGTTACCAATATAAATGTTTATTTATAAAATACAAAAATCTAAATAAAATATTAACTTTGAAATAGCTCAAATAATGAAACAAGTAGTGCCTTTCAGAAGTAGCTCAATTTGTTATTTCTAGCTGAATCTGGCAACATGTTTGGGTCAAATACAAAATCAGTTTTTCCATTTAAATAAGAAAAACATTCTGCCTTGTTGAACATGGTAAATTCATGCTCAATAACAAGGAATGAATCCTACACTTTTCCAGCAGGATAATATTTTTGTGGTAGCAAATGTAAAGTTTGAAATTTAATTCAAATTTATAGAATGTTGTAGGTGTGTTCCAAATAAAACATGCGTAATGAAGCGGCGTGGTCAAACTACTAGAAAATATTTTTCATTTGTGATTTAGTTGCTGCAAATAAAGAATTATATTTTATTTATATTGGTCTATTATGATCAATATCTATTAATAGGACTTGTACTGATTTAACGTGAAGAGAAAATATAGAGATTGAATCAATCTCTTGGCACAAAAAAATAAACTTATTTGCACCTGTATACAATATTTTCTTGTATTTTAGATGTTTTGTCTCTCATCAGCAGGTGTTTTATCAGTTATATTTCTAAAATACAAAAAATTTTTTTAATTTTTCAATTTAACCGTAATTGTATATAGTACCTAAAATACTTTAGACGACTTATTCCTAACTTATACATGTGTCTTCCAAGTTTTTTCTCCATTCCTGAAGGATGAAATTCCAAATAGATGTTATTTTTCTTTTATAACTGTTTTTGCTTTTAGCATGGTTAAAAATATTTTCTCTTTAATTAATTACAAATTATTTTTATAATTTCATACTTATTTCCTTTTCCCCCCTCTTTCCTTTCTTTATTTCTTTTACTCATGTTACAGCATTGGTTGTACTTTCTTTTTTCTCTTTTATTCTTCTGTTTCTGTTGTGTTTAAATAACTTTATTATTAAGTACAATTATTCCATGTCAGATGTATTTCTTTTCTATTATTATCATTGATTTTATTTTTACCTTGTTTTACTATATTTGTATGTTCATAAAGTTATCTTTCAAACATAATTTTCCTTTAATATTTTAACTGATTCTCTTATTAATTCGCATCTTTTCTCATTGCAATAGTGTACTACTATATTTGCATAATTTTTCTGAACTTGTCTGTTCTTTAATTCTTATTCCCATTTTCTTTGATTTCTCTTACATATGTTAAATTATTTAGACAACTACATTTAAATGAATAAACCACTTCTTCTTCTGTTATATCTTTTTTATTCCCATAACTTAAATACAGTCAATCCCCCTATAACATGGTAGATACGTTCTGGTTTTTATGAATCCATTTTCTACGAGTCCAGCCAATCACAGCCCAACACGTATGCAGTTTATGGACTACGGTTGTTTGAAAGGTTTCTTCCATAAAATTAATAGATTCTAGACTATTTCGACTCAACATTTCCAAAATATGTATAATTTTTTGGGGATAATCCATATAAACTATGTTATAAACAAAAAATTGTAGGATTACTTATCGAGCGTGCACTGTTCGACTACGCCATTGCTTAAGCTTGTTTTCGTCGTGGAGCTTGTCATTGAATGGTGCTCGTGTGCTTCCTGATAAATTATTTTTTTTGCGAAAAATTCGCTGAACTTTGGAGACATCATTAATATAAATATAATTTTTATGGACATTAAATAATAAATGGTTTTTAGTAGGTCTACTGCTTGTTTAAACTCAACGGTTTGTACAATATCCGCTATTGGTCTAGATTCGACCAATCCTGTCGTGACACGAGTCAGTGATGACGAATTATACGAGCTTTTTTAGCATGTTTGTATGAATACTGTCGCAATTTTTTCACTGTGATATAGGAACCCATGTTATAGGGGAGTCGATTGTATTTCTTTATTTGATTTTGATCTGGTATTAAATTGATATTTTTTCGTATTAGTTTTATATATATAAAAAATTTTACATTTATGTAAATTTAGCAAATTTTCTTTGTAATAATTCTTCATTTTTTTCCTTTGATGTTTTTTACTGTTTATTTCATTTAACCATTCTTCTAATTGTTTTTCCTTGGATATTCATTTAATAAAAATATTTTTGTTGTTGTCGAAAAATATTTTTACTAAATTTGCTGTCTCTTTTTGTTGTTTTTCAGTCTTTGTAGTTCTTTTTGTATTCACATATATTTTGAATATATTTTTTTTCATAATTATTGATGTATGAGAACTATAATTTAAAATTTTTGTTACTTGTATCAGCTTTACATGTTTTGAATATTTTAAATTATCTTTGTGTCTTGTTATTGTTATGTATAAGTGAGTTATACTATTTCTTGCTCCTTTTTCCATCTCAAATTGTATACTGTTATTTATTTTGTTAGCTTCTTTATTGTATTCTCTTTGTTTGTTATAGTTTTTCAAATAAAATTATGCAATCATCCTCATACCTGTTATAAAATTTAATTTTCTCTGTTTGTTTATTTATTTTATTTTTTTAATATCTAATTTCATCTGCAAGTTTAAGTCAGTGTAATAAATCCTATTAATAGATTATAATCATAATAAATTAATATTAATAAAATACTATTTAAAGGACTACTTTAGAGGCATTAATTAATTAAAAGATTATATTGTGAGGTATAGTAAATACTTCCAGTTTCAGTTCTTAATTTAACTAGATAGATTTTTTGCATATGTTTCTGAACTGATAAAATCAGTATAAAAAATTTAATGTGGTCTGCAAGTTCTTCAAAAATTGTGAACCTTTTAAAGTGAAAAATTTGCCCAATCCTGATTTAACTGATCAGCATAAAAGATGAATCTAATCCAACTTTTAAATATAATTAAACAAATAGCTTATCAAAACATGGCTAAATAAGAAGTGCTTATCACATTGGCATGAGATGGATGAATTATTCAAATATAATTTTTATTAATATGGAAACTGATGAGAGGTCTAAGCACCCAAAATGCATTCCCATATTAATAAAAGTTATATTTAAATAATTGAGTCTGATTCCATTTCATCCTGATGTTATAAACCCTTCTCATTTAGATGTGTTTTAATAAGCTATTTGTTTAATGTGCATTTGGGCTAAAAGCATGCTTACATGCATTTTATAATTGAAATTAACTAAATTATTTTCAAGAAAATTTGATCACAAATCCATTATGCATTTTTTGGAAATTTTATCATTTATTATTGCAAAACACCTTTCTCACTTTTTGTAGCAATTTTTTTTTAAATTAAATTAAATGAACTAATGTTTTCAGCTATCTTAAATAGATGCCTTCAGGTTTAAATGTTAATTTGTTCAATTTAACAAAAAAAATTTGCTAGAAAAAGTGAGAAAGCTGTTTTGTAACATTATATAGAAGTTCTAGCTTACTGTGCATAGAATTTTATCATTTTAATTTGTAAACAAAACAAACTTTTGTAATAATTTAATTGTAAAAAAGTAGTAATATTATTATTAAATTATGGATGATTATTAATGAGACTTTCCAATAAATGACTTTTTTATTGTAGAATATCAGAAAGGACATTAGGAAGCATAATTTCTCAAGAATATCAGGTATTTATAAATTATACTTTTTAAATGCATTATAGTACAGTATTTGCATTAATACTGTACATAACTGAACAGCCAAATAATTTTTCTATAATAAAATGTGATATACATACAGTAAAACCTCATTAAGTCAAAATTTAAGGGACCAAAAATATCCAAACTTTGAGTAAACAAGTTTAATACCCTAATTTTTTCAAATTTCTCTGTGGCCATAAATTTCTCATTATAAAGCCATTTCTCAAGAGTCTGTTCACAGAATGATTATAAAATTATATACACTTGATAGCACTTTTGAGTGCATTCTCAAGGTGCCCCTTGTGTCCCAATCAGAATGGTAATAATCATATGAGTAATAAAAATATTGATGCAAATTTGTAATGACATTGAAGGTGTTGCATTCATCTTGAAGCTGTTTATCTTAATTGTCTGTAATCTCATAGAATATAAGAGAAAATGAAGCTCACAGACCTATCAAAGAGCAAAAGGTACATGGTAAAAAGCATAAAATAGGTTTGAGTTGAAAGTACTGACAATTTTGATGTAACAAGACTGTATTAATATGAATTTTTAGAACACCTTTACATAAATTAGCAAATAAACATCACTTTAACTATACTTAATGTTTTTAACCTTGAGAAGTCATCATCAAGCTAGATATATTGGAAACAGTTTTCAAATACAAATGGAACATTGAACATATAGATATATAAGTAGGATTATAAAAATTATATTCAGCATTGTAATTGTTCCAAAATGTTGTAATACAAATAAACATAATCTGTCAACTTAAACTACGATATGTACAAAATACATAAAATGTGATTCAAATATCTGTTTGTTTAATTACATGCTTTGGAATTTCATATGTAGACTTCCAGGTATTTGACACATTGAACTCATCTTTAAAGTTCATCGAACTTCTCTTTCTTTTTGGGCTGCAATTTGAAAAAATTGTAGACCTATAAATTCCCACTGTTGTCTGTCTGTCCTTCGTTAATCTCAAGAACAGTGTTAGATAGATGAAAGTCAAGACCAGATATGGAAAGCTTAGGGGCAGGAGGCCCTGATAAACTATATGTGAACTTCTGATGCCAAATGGAAGTCTTGTTATTTCAGTTCAAAAATTTTCTCCTCAATGGAGTTAGATACAAGACCAGCATAACTTCATTGCTAACAGGAAAAGTATAATGTATAGAGGCAAGACACTACTAAACTTAAATGCATTGTGATGATGTCACAATAAATAATTGCTTATTGATTTATAAATTTCCAAACCTTCCATACATTACAGATTGTGTCTCCCTTTAAGAGTTTAATGATCTTGTTTCATCCCAGTTTATAGATATGTCCACCTCAATAGTGTAAATTGTCAGTACTGTGGCTTATGTAATATTCTTTAATCTTATTTATCAAAGACCATGCAGTTGCAACAGTGTACTCAGTCCTGAGTGCTTCTGTTGTTTGAGGTATATTGTGTACACACTAGGTATTTTATTACAATCTTAAGTGATCTTTATCCTTTCTTAGGATTTTATACACACTGGGGTTTCTCCTGTAATATATGTTTGTGTGAGTGGTCTGAGCAATCTCCTTATAGATATTGTGGAGAGGATGTTGTAGTTTACAATCTTATATTTCTTATTGCTTTTGATGATGTGGAGGGCTTTGTTGGTATTTTTTGTGCTTTTCTGTATTTCTTGTATAATTGTTTTCCAATGCCTGAGTTATACCCAAGTTTTCTGTTGGCCACAATTAAATAATAGATCTTATGTTGATCTAGAATACTGGTACAATGTGTACAAGCTCTCCATACCAATGCCCTGAAAGCAGCTAATTTAAAGTGGAAAGAGTCTTAGGTCTTATGAGTTTTCGTTAATGTCCAAGATGAATTATTGAATATCTGGTATGCTTCTCCAGAAGATCAATATAAACATTTAATATTTATTTTGTATACTAGTACTTTATCAATTAACAGGACTTATTATACAGGATTTATGGATGCAGAAATTTAGTCTTACAGATCAGAAATAATATTTTTTATTTAGTTCACCTGATTTATTTAGTTCACAGATGAACTAAATAAAAAATATTATTTCTGATTTGTAAGACTAAATTTATGCATCCATAAATCCTGTATAATAAGTCCTGTTAATCGATAAAGTATTAGTATACAAAATAATTATTAAATTAAGATATAGGACACAAAGGCATAATAATTAATCAATATAAACAACTCATTAAATCCAATTTATGATGAATTAAATCTAATGATTTATCTAATTATTAATTTAATTGTAGCCCAATAATTTGGCAGATTGTGCGGCTTATCTAGCATATAAATTCTGGCCCTTTCTGTACCTAGGGAGAATATAGTTTTCTAACAATCTCACATGTACCTCTTATTAGGGCTGTCCATGGGTATACTCCTCCTTTGTATATATGTAATATTATCAAATTGAAAAAAAGAAAGAAAAAATACTACTGTATTAGCCCGAATATAACGCAATATTTTTCAACCATTTATTTTCCGTTAAAAAATTGACTCGCGCTAAATTCGGGGTTTAAGTAATGGAATGTAATATAAACAAGGACATTTTCCTACAGAGGTTGCCTGTGTTATTAGCTATACAGTAGAGCGTCGTTTATCCGAAAGCTGGTTATCCGAAACGTCCGTTATTCAAAAGCATTCCAGTCGGCAAATTTAAATTTTCGCTAGTGCTGTGGCGCTAGCGAAAATTTAAATTTGCTGACTGGAATGCCAACTGCAATCTTCGGCTATTTCTTGGGTTACTCAAATATTTTATGTTTTCGATACTAAATTAACATCTGAAGTATAATTTTTTATTGTTTTTATATTTTTCAATATATTTATTTTGTTTGTACAAAATAAAAAAATAATTTTTAACGATACAATAGTCTTCGTTAGGCTTAACATCGACGAAAATTCAACGCGAAGCGACACGCAACGGAAAAAAATTTCAACATGGGATAAATTAATATATTTCTTCGTACATGATTCGTTATCTGAAAAATAAGTTATCTGAACCACCCCAGTCCCCAATTGATTCGGATAAACGACGCTCTACTGTAATTACATAAATAAATGCTTATCTGATTGAATTTTCCTTTCTTTGAATTCTTTTATGAGTATTATTTTTTTCTAAATATCTTTATGAAAATTTTGGAGTCGCGTTAAATTCGGGGTCTCGTTATATTCGGGCTAATACGGTAAATCTGCCACGTTTGAAACTTGCTTGTGATATTTTTGTGGATCATCAATACAGTTAAATAGGAAGTCATGTAAATGAGAGAAGCAAGGTTCCAAGTGATAGAAGATCAACAACTGACAATAGACAAAATTGCTGATGCTACATGCCTATTACATGGAACAGTTCAATGAATTCTGACTGATTATTTTCACATGATGGAGGTTTCTGTGTTCTGGGCTACATGCTAACTGGACAACAAAAAGAAATACACTGAAATTGAAGTATGTCAGTCAATGTTTGCCAGGAATGCTGCAACCAATGGCTATTTTTTGGATTACAGTAGAGCCTCAATTATCCGACTCAATTGGGAACTGGGGTTGGTCAGATAATTGAAAAGTCAGATAACCGAAAAGTATGAAAAAATCCATTATTAGTGTAGTATATTATTATATCCCATGTAATTAGGATACTAGTATATCGCTATTAACCTACTTTGCATTGAATTTTCATCGATGTTAAGCCTAACAAAAATTTTTTAAAATAATAATCGTCGCTATTGTATTGTTAAAAATAAGAAAATTAAGCCTCGTTTAAATACTGGCTCCCTTTCATGGTCGAATGACTGTTGCCAGCTAAAACATGTAAAAATAATATTAAAGTAGCCGAGACATAGCAAATATTGTAGCGCCACATCACTAGCGGACATTTGAAATTTGCCGACTATGACGGTCGGTTAATCGGAGGTCGGATAATCGAGGCTCTACTTTATGTGATCATAATGGATGAAGGGTGATTCCACTTTTCAATCTCAAAACAAAACACCAATCAAAACAGTGGAAACATGCTACTTTTCCACCTCCCTGAAAGCTTCAACAAGTTGCATCTAACAACAACGTTCTGTATGTCATTTTCTGGAACAAACATGGATTGATTCTCATGCATCTGGTACCAGAAGATCACATGATTATTGGTCAGAATGCAAAAGATGCTGGACAAATATTTGTTGCCTGCAGTTCATGAATATCCTTCCAATTTTGTCTTGCACTGGGACAATGCTCTGCTGCACAGAGCGCAAGTCATCCAAGATTTTCTGATAGAAAAAGCCATTGAAATTTTGCTGTATTTTCTGTAATTGCCAGAGCAACTTTTGGCTTTTTGAAAACCTGAAACTTCACTCTGGTACACATTATTCATCAAGATCTAATTTTGGTAGTACAGTTTTTCAGTGGTTTCGAAGGACTCCAGAAAATGAGTTTGCACAGTGCTTTGACAAGTGGTTAAAGAAATGCAAAGTGTCTTGACAAAGATGGGGATTACTTTGAAAAGTGACATCAAACATTTTCTTCAGAACTGATTGGTTTAGAAGTTGTGGCTAAATGGTATATAATTTTTGTATACACCTCATATATCAACTCTATAGTGAAAACATTTGTACAGTATTTATTATTTTAATTACATTACTTATATATTATTTTGATTTAAAACTAATCTATATTTTAATTGATTTTAAAATAATTTTAAATGTTTGTATTTTTTTTTTTTTTAGAAAAAAACAAAAAGATTTTATCACATGCATCATTCTCCAGATGTGACCAATTCTTATTATGAACAGTAAGATATTTAATTGGATATTTTTTTTCATTCTATTAATATATTTATCTAATTTATTCCTTTAGAAAGTTTCATGATATCTGAAGTTTTAAAAATAAACTTTTCAACAAACTATTAGTCAGAACAAAATTTCATTCATACAATATTGATTGTGATTTTTAAAAATCTTGATAAGTTACTATCAATATTACATTATGGTATATACACAATAATAATTATTGCATATAACTTATCTATACTAATATTATAAAGAGGTAAAGTTTGTAAGTTTGGATGTAGGAGGTAATCTCCGAAACTACTCATCTGATTTCAAAAATTCTTTCATCAATATTTAGAATGGACCTTCAGGGTGGATATAGGCTGTATATTATTCCATTAAACATTCAGATAAATTAATTAAAAGATATCATCTAGGTAAGCGTTATATTTTTGGTGTCAGTGGGTGGCGAGGGCAAGACGCGTACATATACAAGATAGGTAACTGTGTGACGCAGTCATGTGGTCGGCGAGATATGCAGTGCACGTGTCTGAACTTGTGATATATAACATTACATATCCTGACTGATTCATCATCACCCAGAGCAAACCACTGAACCTAGAGGTGAAATTTGGTACACAGTTAGGGTATGTCATGAAAATGCACAATAAGAAGGGATTTTTCGAAATTCCCCCACAGGAGAGGGAAAGGATTAAGGCTTAACCTGAAGAATGTCTTTTATTGTACTATTTTAGATGTGATTTTTTGTTTTTATAGTAACAACCAATGTTGAGAATCTTAGTGAAGTATCGAGGGAGGGTTATTTCTATCAAATTGTAAATTCTGAGCAGGTGAAGCTGTGGGTAACAGCTAGTACCATATAAGTCAGCATTTGAATTTTTTGAATTTTTGAGCCTGAAAAAAAATCTTTCCAAGTATAGTGTTTGAGCAGAATGATTTTTTAAAATGATTAGTAAATATTTTCTATAATTTAATTTAATTATATACTGAATAAATAATTTAATATATAATAATACAAAATAATTTAATGTACTTAGCTCTTTTTAATTGAATATTTTTCTAGTGAATTATTATTATTAATTTTTAAAACGATTGATTCTAGAAACTAAAATTTTTAATTAGTTAAAATTGTTAGTTAAAAGAAATCTTTTTAAAATTATTGAATTATTAAAGTTTAAAATAACACATTTTGTTAGATAAAAATAATTTATTTTGTTATTAATCAACCACTGTATAACTATGGCTTTGTAAAATGGAAAAAGTAATTATTTTTTTTATTATTCATTAATGAATAATGTAATCCATTACAAAAATATAAATTTATTAAATTTTGTCTTTAATGGATTNCCAATTCTTACATAGCATTTATAACTTTGGGATGTTTATAACAGGAATTGAGGAAACTGGAAAAAAATTAAAATCAAAACCTAACTTTCTTGTTACACAATGAAAATTATAAAAATGATAAAATGGTACCAATTAAATTACAATTAATTATTATTTTGTTTTCATTTTTAGATTTCATTAATATTTGCCCTCAAATTGAGGCTGTGGGGATTCAAAAACATTTCAGAAAAAATTTTAAGTTATATGTCATATAGTATATATCAAATAGGGTATCAAGTAGATGCTATAGAAAAGAAATTACATGTGTAGATGAACTGAGATCATCCACCTGAATATTCTTTAAAACTGAGAATTGGGTGCTGTGGAATACAGCTTCTGTTTCTGGGACAAGATTTTAGCCTGTATAATGGATATATGATATAAGATGTTAGCCTCCATCAAGATCTATATCCCAGCAATTGCATAGTTTAATTGCAGAAAGAGAGAGTGAGTGGGTTCCTCCATAGCTTGGACTTGAATGTGTCTTATGTAGGAATATGTTTAGTTCATGGGTAAGGTTTGCCAAACTGATAACTATATGATTAATAATTTTATATGAGCCATCTGATTTGTGAAGACTATTATATGAAGAATACTATTTCAAAGTGTTTATTAATTTTTGTATTTGTATACATTTTTAGTTTCATAATGAAGCTAGTTGCTTTTACAGTGTCTGTGCTCAATAAATTTCTATTGCTCATATTCTCTTCCCATTTTCAAAAATGAATAGAATTAATTTTTTTAATGAATTCTTTACTCTAAAATAACAGTAAATGCTTAAATTTGCTGTGCTTTAAAGTATTCAAAGAATCTGGGTTGATTTTTCAAAAATATGATACTAGTTTTAAAAAATTATTCTAAAATGTCTTGAATGAAAACTGAAAATTTTTAAACCAAATTGTCTGATACTTTACAGAATTTATTTGATCTTATTGCATGATGTTTAGTATAGCCAAATAAAGCTCTTTATGATGTTTAATTATTGCTGAATATTTCAAAATGCAATTTTTCTAGACATTTTATATAAAAAATGTTTAGACTTTGTTTTGTTTTGTAAATCTTTGGAAATGCAAACTATTACATAAAAATAATTTTATTTAAAGGGAGATTTATATTTAAATTGAACTTACTTCATATAATATTTCTAAAGGTATTTGAAAGCGTCAAAAACATGCAAACAACCTGGCTATCTTTTAGATATAGCAGAAAAGGTAAATAATTTTTTGGTATCTTTAAATAATAAATAATAAAAATTATCATAAATAAAAATTAAATGATAAATTAACTGAAAATGAAACATTTGCACTTTATATAAAAAATATTTTAAAATAAGGAGTTGATAAAAAACAAAAAATACAGTAATTGATTTTTTACCATTATTGAATAAGCTGATGATAATTAAACATTGATTAAAAATATTTCTTCACTTATATTTGGTAATCTAAATTTTGCAGTTTTCTTTCATTTCTCTATATGAAGCCAAATGATTGCATGATTATATTGGGCTATATTAATGTGACTATTAATAATTAAATGTCAAGTAATTTATCAAAAAATGGTGCCTAATGCCTATATCTAGGTACAGTAGGTGTTGGGTACCATTTCTTGATAAATTAAATTAATATTTTAATACAGTAATTAATTTAGATGGAATAAGAATAATAATTCTGGAAGAAAAGAATTGGCCTGAAGCAGGACTTAAACACAGTCATGCTTCCAGTAGTGCTACCTGGACCTCCATCTGATCTTCACTTCCAGAACTATTAATTTAGATATAACCATACTGGTTACTGATAGTGCCAACTGGGGACAACTCAGTTTCCATAGCCTATAACTCCCACTATGGCACTTTGCTGACTATCACTTTACTGGCATGGGGGTGTATAGACAAATATAAACAACTAAAAACCTGATTATTAGTTTAAATACAAACAATTGGTTTTAAACTAATAATCAAGTTTTTAGATTTTGTATTTGTTGCTAGGGTAAAGCAATAGCTGGCTAAGTGCCATAGTGAGAGTTATAGGATTTGGTGCTGAGTTGTCTCCAGTTGACATCATGAGTAACCAATATGGTTATATTCTAAATTAATAGTTCTGAACTGAAGATTGGAGGGAGGTCTATTTAGTGTAACTGGCAATGTGACTGTGGGAATTGCAGGTTCAAGTTCTGCTTTGGACTGATTCTTTTCTTCCAGAACCTTCTAAATTGATTATTAAAATATTAAATTATAATTACAGCTGTCCTTTGATAGTCCGACGTTTTGTAATCCGACATGTTCAGTAGTCCGACGCACCTCCCGTCAACGTACCCTGTCGTTACGTGTCTGCTTGCACAGAAGCATGTCGCAACGTGAATCTCCCCATCCAATTCTTACAGGATGACACATTTTGTGTATTTTCCGTGAGCAGTTCTGTTTGAACAGTTGGAGTAGGGAATATTGTAGGCTACTGCTAGCAAATCAATGCGAAATATGTAATCACTTTCGGTAATCCGGACACTTTTTGTAATCTGACACCCCTTTGGTCCCATACTTGTCGGATTATCAAGGGACAGCTGTATTAAATTTATGAAGAGATGATACCTAATGCCTACCTCTAAGCCAAATTACTTAACATTTAATTATTAATAGTAGCCTTAGTATTACCTAATATAATCTGGTAATCAGTTGGCTTTAAACAAATAATGGAGTTTTTAAACATTTATACTAGTGATGTAACGAATATTCGGTTACTATTCGGTATTCGGCCTATTCGGCCTATTTTTCACTATTCGGCCGAATACCGAATACCTAAAAACAGGAGTAATAAATAACAAAAACACAGTAAATTAATCATTTTGGTATTTAGATTTAATGTTATCGAGTTAGTGTTGTTTGTTTATATTTATTTATAACTTGTAACATGCACAAAATAAAAAAGAAAATAATATTAGTCACATGTATTCACAATTTATAATTACAAAGATCAGCACACGTACACGTCTATCGTTGGAGAATCCTCGCACATCTGAGGGTCTGACCCTGCCTATCCTTCTTTTTAAGCGCTCGTCTTTGCTCTTCCCTTTCTCTTTCCTCTATCGCTCTAATCCATGTATGCCTGTGCATACATCATAATACGCGCTCACGATACTTTCGATTCGTCACTTTTTCGTCCTAGAGTTCCCATTTTACAATTACGTGACTCAGCCTGGTGATAACGGAGAAAAGAGACAGATAGGACGTCGATATAAGTCACAGTTATGATTTCACAGATTCGAGACAGGTTGATAGCCCGAACGGCCCCAGGCTTTCGCCCGTGCACGCTAAGTGACTTACATTACAAGCATTTAGCTTTCCGAAGTCTATGACAATTGTTTGGCATTGACGGCCGCGAATTTCGTGTCAATAAGCTGCCTCGACTTGTCCGATTATGTTATCGACTCAATTTCATATTTATTTTCACATTTTCACTTCGCGGTCCTTCTCTGTTCTTTTTCCGTTATTTACACGTGTAGGTCATTTCATTGTTATCCACATTTGATATCATCATTTATCTTATACTTCCATGACACTCTTGTCTGTCCACTACAACTGCCAAGAATTAACGCGATTGGCAAAGCGTAGTGACAGCGGGCCAATAGAGAGCAGGATCCTTGCCATAATGCGGTTTGCGCGCCAATTTTCGTACGTGCGTTAATCGAGCCGAATAGTTTGGCCGAATATTCGGCTATTTGGCCACGCTCCTGGCCGAATATTCAGTATTCGGCCTGAGGCCGAATATACTATTCGTTACAACACTAATTTATACTACTCTACGTATTTGAATTTCTTAAAAATGCATTTTTGTAATGTATATTTTTTTTAAATGTTTGACTTTCAGTTCAATGTTTAGAAACATATTTGATGAGTAGTGTAAATCAGCCTGTATTAGTTTTTGTATAAAACATTTTTCATCATTAATCAGAAGAATTAATAATTAATTAAAACAATCAGTATAAATTATTTTAGGCAGATCTTTCACCAGCACTAATGGCTCGAATTATATTGGAAAAATATTACACAAAAGATGGTGAATCAGGTAAGTATCAATTACTAGATACTGCTAGATAAAAAAATAATGCAAATTATATAATGTTTGTTTGTATTTTATTGTTTATTTCAGTTAACAAGCAACAAATAAATCAAATCATGAAAGATACTACTTTAATTGAAGACAAAGATTTTGCTGTTGAAATCTATTTGGTAAGTCACTAACTACATTACATAGATTCTATAAAAAAATTTTTTTTAATCTTGATCTTTTTTTATTAGTGTATTTTGAATGATGAAATGTATGGTTATGTATCAGATGTAACAAAACAGTAAGTTGAATATTGCTCTTTTTTTTGATTAAAATAAATATTGGTGCTTCCCAGTTGCTAAGCACTTTGTTTATTTTGCTAGTGATAAATTTTGATTATCAATTAGGTGACTTTGCTCAATTGTTATAAGCAATATTATTATTCATTTTTGTGTGAATGATTTCATGAAAATGATTTCATAATTTACTTTCATTTTCATGAATGAATTCATGAAAATGAAAGTAAATTATGAATGAATTCATTTCATGAATTCAGTTGTGTATTTAATTTACTTTCATTTCATGAATGAATTCATTTCATGAATTCATTCATGAAATGAAAGTAAATTAAATACACAACTGAAATTACACAATCTTTGTACCTATATCACCTCTTAATTTAAGCTATTGTTCAGTTAGGAGATTTTAACTTTTGATTTGAATTAAACAGCATGAAGGTTTACTTTCATTTAACTAGTAAGTTAATTTGTTATAAAATACGAGGCATGTTTTTAAAGTAAGTACCATTTTGAAATATAAAAAAAACAAGCAAACATTTTTAACAAAATTTTTATTTATGTGAAAGCCCATATTTTACACTACTTTTCTACATAATTCCCATTAATATTGAGACACTTATCGTATCGTGGGACCAGCTTTTGTATTCCATCCTCAAAGAATGTTGCCGCCTGATGAGACAACCACTGCAGAACGGTCATTTTGACTTCGACGTGATTGTTATGGCACTGCCCTGCCAGATGCTTCTTCAAATGCAGAAACAAATGATAGTCACTCGGCGCTAGGTCGGGACTGTATGGAGGGTGGTCTAATTGTTCCCAGCCAAATAATGTGATTAGGTCTTGAGTTTGATTTGCCGTATGTGGACGAGCATTATCTTGGAGCAAAACACCCTTGCTCAGTAAGTTCCGCCTTTTGTTTTGTACTGTACGGCGCAGTTTTTTTAAAGTCTTACAGTATGCAGATGAATTGATCGTTTCACCATGAGGCAAAAAATCAACAAGCAACACTCTGTATCTGTCCCAAAACACTGTGCATGTGATTTTCTGAGCAGAAATTGTTTGCTTGAACTTGACTTTCCTTGGAGATGATGAATGTCGCCATTCCATGGATTGTTGCTTCGATTCTGGTGTAACGTAGGATACCCACGTTTCATCGCCTGTAACAATACGACTTAAAAAATCATCTCCTTCGTCACTGTAGCGCTCAAGAAAAGTCAATGCACTGGCCAAACGTTTGGCTTTGTGCTCCTCCGTCAATATTTTCGGCACCCAACGGGAACACAACTTTCGATAATTTAATCGTCTGGTCACAATTTCATACAGAACACTTCTTTAAACTGCAGGAAACTCTTTAGATAAAGATGAAATCTTGAATTGTCTGTTCTCTTTCACTCTACAGTCCACTTTTTCAATCAAATCGTCGATAATGACTGAAGGTCGCCCTCTTTGTTCCTCATTGTGAATATTTGTGCGGCCATTACTAAACGTCCTAACCCATTTTCGTACCATTCCATCACACATAACGCTTTCACCATAAACTTCACTGATTTGGCGATGAATTTTAGCTGCTTTCGGGTCTTTAGCACTGAGAAAACGAATAACGGCACGTACTTCGCAGTCGGCGGGATTCTCAATGAGCGGCGGCATTTCAATAACACACAAACAACAGTAAACAGAGTCGACTGGCTCCGTAATGGCGTTTGTGGCTTCCCAACAGATGTAGGTACACAGCGCGCATGCGCTAAGTGCTGACTGCAGCACTCCAGCGGCGTTATATTAAAACGGTACTTACTTTAAAAACACGCCTCGTATATTATGATATGCAGATAATGCATCTTTATCAGATAGAAACTCAAGGTTTGACTGTATAACTTTTCAAACAATTTGGTTTATGAATAAAAATTTTGAACTCATTTTTGTCGTGGTTACCAAACAAGCTACTCAGCCGAGCCAGACACTGCTGATCAACTTCCTTATACATCTTATATTAAAGAATGATACATCTTATGTTAAAGAAAGTCAATGGTCTGACCAATTAACAACAGGACTACCAATTCACAAATCAGTGGTGGCGAGGTTGCCTTGTGTCATGATACAAATCATTGATGACATTGCTATTTAAATTACATTTCAATGTGCATGCAGGAAAGATACTATTCTGTTTTTCGGTAGGTACCACAGTTGAATTTAAATCAAATTAATTAATAAAAACTGTTTTAATTAACATTCATATAATACAAATTGCATTCAAGAATTTGTGTTTAAATATGCTTAAGTTAAATTAAATGACAAAAATTTATTAATATNCAAATTGCAGCCCAATAAGTAATGCTCAGTAACCGAGTGGATAAAACCACTTAACACTTGTAGTCAGCTGGTTGTTGGCACATGGCCAATGGACTGTCCACTTGCAGTTTTCTGGGTTTTTTTTTTTTTTTTTTTTGCATTATTAACACCTAAATAGGGGAGAGCTTTACCTAAGTCTTCCTGAGATGCATCCTCCTTGTTAGATCACGCGTGTCGTGTTGCTGTAACCAAATAAACAAAACCAATTCTAATAATTTTTCTATAAATGCGATATTTACCAGGATATGCTTAACTATCAGGAAACCTGGACATCCTGCCCCCTCCCCTGATTTCATTTCCCCTTTCTAACTCATAAATTCATTTCCCCAAATTTCTTTCACTGATATTGCTTAAGATGTTCTAATGTTCAGCCAAATTAATGTACGTGCAATGATTTTAAGGCATAAAGTAGAGTTTGAAGTCTTTTTCTGTGCCAATGTTTTTTGCCTATTTATGATCATGGTGCGATTGCTTCATCCAAAACTTCCTGTAGTCGTAGTCTGTGTAATGTGCAGTTTATTCACTTGTTGAGTCTTACTGTCAAATCTGCTTCCACTATTCTTATGCCACAATTTTGAAAACTTTATATACTTAGATGTTTTTGCTGAGCTTTATTTTTCAACCTGGTTTCACCAGTTATTTTTTATGGGATCACATAAAAGCAATTATTCTCGTATTTTTACAAGATTTTTCTGTCTAAACCAAGTCATATGAATTCTTTCAGACATTAAGATTAGCAACTTCAATCAGTGGCGTAGCTACATATTCAGCGCCCTGGAGCAAGTTGAATCAGCGCGCCCCCTTGTTCTTCGGAAGAGGTTTCGCAAAATTTTATTTTGAACATTCAATTTAAAACCATATCTCATTATTTCAATTTAAAACCTTACTTAATAACAATTTATTTGAGATTCAAGACATTTCTATAATAAGATATTCAATTTAATAAATCTTATAATTTAATCGAGATGGATTGATAATGATGATAATAATAATAATAATAAGCATAGAGCCCAAACGGTTAGGAGTTGAAAGTTGAAATTTGGTACACAGTTATGGTACGCCATGCCAATGCATCCTAAGAAAAGGTTTTTCGAAATTCCCTCACTGGGAGGAGGAAGAGGGTTAAGGATTACCCTGAAGAACTTGGCTTCTACTGTATTATTTTAGATGCGGTATTTTGCATTTTTGCGAGAAATCGAGCTTGTTTTTAGACCTAGCTAAAAATTCTCTAATTAGTCTGGGAAGAGGGGAACCTAATTCTTGCACCCAGTAAAAATGAGTAAGATTGCCTATAATCTAATAATCTTAATCTCTTCTATAGTTACTTTTTGCCTGAGTAACGCTGGGCTCATCTGCTAGTACAATTATAAATATAATACAGTAGAGCATCGATTATCCGACTCAATTGGGGACTCAGGTTGGTCAGATAACTGAAAAAATCGGATAACCGAAAAGAAGAAAAAAAAATACATTATTAGTATAGTATATTAGGATATTAGTATATCCCATGTAATTAGTTTATTAGTATATCTCTATTAACCAACCTCGCATTGAATTTTCATTGATGTTTAGCCTAACAAATTTTTTTTTTAAATAATAATCATCGCTATTGTATCGTTAAAAATTATTTTTAAATTATTTTATTGCTCATGAAACAAACAACCACTCATAATTAGAAAATTAAGTCTCGTTTAAATACTGGCCTCCCTTCAATGGTTGAGCCGTTGATGCCAGCTAAAACATGCAAAAATTTAACAAAATAATTAAGTAAATATAATTCCTACAAAAAAAGGATGTAATTTTAAAAATATATATTATATTCTGAATTACTGCAGCAATGATGTAGTGCAAAATAGATGTGCCATTACACCATTACTCCAACAGGTAGCACATAGCACTTGCCTGTGTGGAGTGTAATATTGTTTTCTCCATGTACAGTACATCATATCAATACTTTTCCTGTTAGCAATAGAGTTGTGCTAGTTATATATCTAACTCTGTTTGAGGGGAAATTTTTGAATTGAAATAATATGATTTGTGGTACAAATTGGAAGTTCATCTATAGTTAATCTGGTTCTTTTCTCTTACATTTTCCATTTCTGGTCTCAACTTTCATCTATCTAACTCCATTCTCAAGATTAAGGAAGAATAGAGCTGAATGGACAACAGTGGGAATTTATATTTCTACAATTTTTTCAAATTGCAGCCCAATAAGTAATGCTCAGTAACCGAGTGGATAAAACCACTTAACACTTGTAGTCAGCTGGTTGTTGGCACATGGCCAATGGACTGTCCACTTGCAGTTTTCTGGGTTTTTTTTTTTTTTTTTGCATTATTAACACCTAAATAGGGGAGAGCTTTACCTAAGTCTTCNAAATAAAAACCCACCAAAACGGGTCCTTGCAGCTAGTATTATATAAACTGTATTGACAAAATGTAAGCAAGTTTAATTTCATTACAAATACATAATAATACATAAAAAAAACTTCAAAATTGTTTTCTTGCTTTTTCATTTGCAAATTGCTCAATCACTTCCTTCAGGTCAAGTTGACAAGCTAGTGTTTTTTTCAATTGATATAGTTAGGGTCAGATCTAAGTTTTTCGGGGCTTGGGCTTATTGAAGTCCAATGGGGATCCATTTTTTGTTATTACAAAT